AATGGAGCTATAAGATAAAAGAGACAATTCATGTTCATTGAAAACATTTTTAGAAAAATAGCAGTGAAAATTTCTCATAATTTATAAAAATGTGATTTTTTTAACAAATCTTTTTGAAATTTTAACAAAAACATTTTTTTGAAGAATTAAAATTTTAACACCAACATGTTAATTAATAGTATTTCCAATATTTATTTTTAAGATATATTTTTTAAAAATCATATAGCATATTTGGCAAACCAAATTGGATCAATTAAGATTTGTTTAAAATGGTAACTAAAAATTCATATTTTCTTGATTCATCTTCTTGCTGTAGTGTTTGCGAAATTTCAGCATCAATACAAATAGTGATGTGTGCGGCCCAAAAATGTTATAATGATAAATTTTAAATATTATTTTATAATTATAATGACATTTTTAATTAATTATTAAATTCTTTAATTTACTTTGCTTTTATCATTTGTCTTGTTGTATTATCTATTTTTTTTCTCTTATTAGTATTTTAGATATTTTTTACTCATCTTATTTCAACATCTAGGTTTTAGCTTAAATTGTTTTTTAAAAAAAGTTTTTAACTTAAACATTAATATTTTAATACACTAATGAAAGACTAAATGCATGTATTTGCAAGGTGAAGAGAGATATAAATACAAATAGATAGAAAGATATAGGGGAGGGAAAGAGATATTCAAATTAGATATTTTATTGGACATATGAGATTGAGGATATGCTTCATGAGGATGTTTTAGGTGGGGAAGATATTTTTGGAGAAATTTTAGAAGAGGAGATGATTTAGGTGTTTGGGAATATTAGAGAGACAAAGAGGTTCAGGAAAACATGTGTTGAGGTGGCAAGTTGGGAGTGTTAGGAACAATATTTTGAGGAAAAAGAGGCAACCAAGGAGAAGACTTGGTTGGAAAGGTGACCATCTCACGTGGCCAGTTTGGTTTTGTTTTGATATATACTCATCTATATATATAATAGAAAGAGGAAAGAAGGGAGGTAACCCATATAGCATAATAAAAAGGAGATACCATCTCATGTAGCTCATCTACTTTCTCATACATGTGCATATTTATTTTTATATTAAATCATTAAGTATACGTTTGGCACTAGTGCATTTTACGACTATTCCATTTTTGTTGATGTGTCATGCACACCAAGAAAAAAAACGGAATTGGCAAGAAAATCGCATTTGGCAAGGGTGTTTCTAAAAAAATGTTTTGGTAATGATTACCATTGGAATTCGGAAAAAGGTGGGGTTTCTTGAAACATCAAATTGATGTTTCTTGAATCGCCTGGGTGATCTTAAATCACCCTAATGGCATGCTACATTGAAATTTGAAAAAGCTGACTACTTTTTCAGATGCCACACAATTCTCATTATAAATATATTATAATATTAAGCTAAATTACTTTAAACACCTAGTCATCTTGCATCCCTTTTTTTGTGTGTTAAAAAAAATAGGTGAAATGAATCACTTGTGAATTGGGGCCCATTGGTGAAACAAAACACTTGTGAAATGATCTAGTGCCAAACAACTGCTAAAAACCTCACGAGTCTTTATTGTCTTTCATAAAATCCATATTTACTCTAATAAATCTCTCTCTCTCTCTCTCTCTCTTTCTCTCTCTCTCTCTGTCACACACACACATAGACCTTAATAGTCATTGTTTGTAACATCTCCCCTCCCCATTAAGTTTAAAACCTTATTATCCTCTTAAATATCCTCCAATCCCTTTTGGCTCTCTCTAATAAAGTAAGGTGTAAATTACTTGCATTGGGTTAGGTTAAGGGTCAACCTAAATATGAACCGTAGCTTGGACCCAACTTTGCCCACCAATTTATGGGGTGAACCAATCTAAACAAATCATTGCTCATTTCCTTGGGTAATCAAGTTTTTCCTTTTATTTTACTCCTTTCCTTGGGTTTAAGTTTTTCTCTTTGTTTCTATTATTTTACTTCAATGTAGATTTGTTTAATGGATTGTTCTTGGTTCAATAATAAAATGTAGTAAGAAAGAACTTAATGTGACTTTTTAGTTATCTTCATCGGTTCAATTTTGAAATTATTTTTTCTTTTTTTTTTTTTACTTGGTTATTAATCTCATGTTAAGCACATTTTTTGGGCTTTATAGGGTTACACAATGCAAGGTAACCCATTGGTATGGAAAGGTAAAAGAGTCACAAAACATATGTTTTAAGTCCAATTAAAAAACCCAGGGTATGCTTAAGTTAATTTATGAAAACCTAGTGTATGTTTAAGTCTTTTACCCGTTATAAAAATATAAGATACAAGAAGTTACAAGAAAAAAACCTCCTAGGTATTAATTTTCTCCAATAGTATCCATTATTACTCTCTATTGGGTAAAAGACTTAAAAAATTGACTTAAACATGCCCTAAGGTTCTAAAGTAGACTTAAATATAACTTATGGACTGAGCCCACTAACATAAAGATACCCTCTAAGATTAGTGAAACATTACATGCAAATTCATTTAAATTTTTTAAATCCTATTTTTTTTCCATTGTAAGATACCCTCCATTCTTGTATTTCATGGATGCCAGAAAATCATCTAATCACAAGGAAACCAGTTTCCTTTTCAAGCCATGGCATGCTAACAATATTATAAGCTTAAAATTAGGGGAAAACATTGCCTAATTAACCACTTTGTTTTGATCTTGTTATTCACTTATTTGTCAAGCATTATGGAAACATTTTTCTTTGATCTTAGAAAAAATAAAGAATAATCTTCGAATATAACTCAAAAAGGAATGAATGGTTTTATTTCTTCTAATAGTAAGATGAAATCTTCCAGTAGTCACAAAATCCAAGAACACGTTATTGAGGTTTGTTTCTTCTAATATAAAATGTTACATTATTGTGAGGTTTGTTGGGTTTAATCCAATAATGAGGTGATGAGTTACCTTGACACCAAAAGGAAGAAGTTACAACTGAGGAGAGAGAGAGAGAATGGTTTAAACGTGATCCTAACGGGACGAGTCATAAGGAGAGAGAGAATATGATTTAAGCGTGATCGTGATATATAGAAAGTGCATTAGTGCCTTTCATTTGGTTTTTTCTTTTTTTTTTTTTGTTTTGAAAATTTGAATGAAAATAAAGGATAAAAAAGTCACAAGATATGTTTAAGTCAATTTATGAAAACTTAAGATAATTTAAGTCTTTTACCCTAAAATCATTATTACCCCCCTCGCCCCAGAAATTTATTTATTTATTGTTGTAAGAGTAGGAGAGGGGGAGCTCGACCCCAAGCATCACTTATATAAATATTCATTAAAGCACTACGATTGGTCTTCAGCCGCATCTTGGTTCACTTCCCTAAAGGAGTAGTGGACATAAGAATACCACACTTCAGATTATCAACTTTCTTCGAGCATTCACCAACGATGGTCTGTAGCCTTCAAGGAATATCGATCAACTTCTTAAGGAAATATATCACAAATGAAAGACTTGACACAAAATTGGGTGGCTCTGAAAGCAACATTATGGGCTTCCCAAGCTGCCCACACTAAAGCAACATTAATAGTGGCTGGGCCAATAAACTAAGCTTTAGCATCTACACATCTCTAAGATGGATCCTGGCGATGCAAGCTAGTGAACAAGCCCCATTGTCCTTTCTCGATATACCAAAGGATGAATCTCTCATAGGATCTCCATTCACCTATTAAATCCCTTTTTTCCTCTTAAATGGCCCCTTTGAACTCTCTTCATAAAACAAAGGTATAAAATTAGATGGAATTGGAGTAAATTATGATCCAATCCAAGCTTTATTATTGATGTTGCTCAATCTGAGGTGATGTACGAATTGAAGTTGTAGTTGAATAGTCCTTGCCAACAGGGCAGAGCCAAAATGGAAGGATAGAATCGCGCTTCAAGACCTAGATGGAATTGGAGTAAATTATGATCCAATCCAAGCTTTATTATTGATGTTGCTCGATCTGAGGTGATGTACGAATTGAAGTTGTAGTCGAATAGTCCTTACCAACAGGGCAGAGCCAAAATGAAAGGATAGAATCGCGCTTCAAGACCTGTGATCAAGAAAGGAAGTCAGAGGCCCGAGGAGTTCTCCCCGGATAGGTACTTCGACGCTCAAGTCAGTAGAAGGTGGTGGATAGTCAGGTCGAGCAATGAGGGTGCTGGTCCGAGCAAGAGAATAGTACGAGTGCTAGAAGTTGGAATCCCTTACCTTGAACAGCAGATACCTTTTTATAGCCGAGGTTCGTGTCCTAGTCAAATTAAGCTTCCGGGGTTGTCGGGATGAGGTTAACCACCGAGGTATTTGGGATAGAGTCCTACTCCCCAACAGAATCGTCCTCATCCCTTCTCCTGTTATTGGTCGTGCTTATCTGCGTCACGTGTGGCTAACGTGGCTGAGAGGATAAGGTGGGGGATTATGGAAATGGCATAGTGCGGTCATGGCTACGGAGTCAGTGTATACTACGGACCTGGTCGAGCCATGTCGACATGGCCAAGGTGACTGGGTGATGACTAGGTGACCATGTGTCATTCAAAACCAACTCAACCATGACCCGAACAATTATAAAACCTAACTTAGATCCAACCTTGAAGGGTTCTTGACTACAAGCTCACATAGACATCCTCATCTAATTTATCACACATGTGGTTATATATTTTAAAATTAAATTGTTAATAAATATAGGAAATCATAATAAAATCCTTTTATGTATTAAATTTCTCTAATAAAATCCAACATTTACTAAATGGTTTTTTGTTTGCCAAAAACAAAGGATCATTCTTAAAACTCTCACTCCTCCAAGGCTCCAACCACACTTCTCATCCCCCATTTTCTTCTTTCATCTAAAAATACATATTAGATTGATCGGGTCAAGTTTGGAATTAACCTTTTTCATCGAGCCAGAGCATTGATTTCATTATCTCTGATTCTTTTGGGTAAAAATTACGTCTGATTTCATTAAGTGCACGTTTGCTTCTATGCGACTCACGAGTTGACTGCCGAGTCATTGAGTTGACTCGACGCAACTCAAGAGCCAATCCATTCGGCTTCAGAGAGCTCTTCCATTTCTATTTGTTCAACTTTCCCCCTCTTTTCTTGGTTCAGGTAACACAGGCAGGCGGTTTTGTTCTACATTCGATATGGTTGGTAAACACAGTAACGGTGGGAGTAAGAGTGACGAAGAACAAGAAGGGAGAGAGAGGTTTGATCGAGACGGCAGCAGGAAAGAATCCAGATCGAGTACTCGTCCAAGTCGCCGGGATGAAAGAGAATCTTCTGAATCGTCTGAGTCTGATGAGGATAGAAAGAATAGGTCCAAGTACAGAAAGGAGAGGTGGGAGAGGCACGAAGAACAAAGTAACGGTGAGGGGGGTGTTCGAGAGAGCAAAGATAGACGGGCAAGGGGAGAAGAGAAAGAATCTAGGGTTAGAGAGGATAGGGAATATCGCCGTCGGGATTTTGATCAAGAGGAGAAGAAGTCCGAATCAGATGAGGGTAGGGATAAGGATAACCGGTCGAAGCAAAGGAGTTCGAGGCGTGAAAGATATGCTGACGAGAGGGACCAGAAGAGTAGGGATGATGGCGGGGAACGGGATCGTAGGGAGAGGAGGGAGTCTCGCCGTCGGGATTCTGATGAAGAGGAGATGAGTGCTCGACATGGTAATGGCCATAGGCAACGAGAACCGGAGGAGAGTCGCAGAGATAGAGATAGAAGGGAAAGAGACAAAAAATCGGCAAGGGAAAGGGATAGAAGAGATGATGATCGGAACCGACGGAGCCATAGAAGTGAAACGGACTACAGCGAAGCTGACAAACATCACAAGAAACGGGGAGAGCAGCGTGAGGACCATAGGCATTCTAGTGCAAAGGAGGTTAGTGAGAAGAAGGGAGATGGTAAGAAAATGGATGATTCGGAACCTCAAAAGCCACCCAAATTGCAAGATGGAAACTTGAATTCTGATTCGGCAAATTTGGGTCGAAGTGGAGGAGTTTATATTCCCCCATTTAAGTTGGCTAGGATGATGAAAGAAGTTCAAGACAAAAGCAGCCTAGAGTACCAGCGGTTGACTTGGGATGCTCTAAAGAAGAGTATAAATGGTCTTGTCAACAAGGTTAATGCAACTAACATCAAGAACATCATCCCTGAACTTTTTGCCGAGAATCTTATTCGGGGAAGGGGACTTTTTTGCCGTTCATGTATGAAATCTCAGATGGCATCGCCTGGGTTTACAGATGTGTTTGCTGCCTTGGTTGCTGTTGTCAATACCAAGTTTCCTGAAGTGGGCGAGCTTCTTTTGCGAAGGATTGTGCTACAGCTCAAGAGAGCATACAAGAGGAATGACAAGGTAAGCATTTCAATATCTGATTATTTTCTTCCCTAGCACTTAATTATTCTTAGATTTCAATCAACATAAAGGCAAAACACTAAACTTTGTGTATGTTAATTTTTCATTGGTAGCCTCAATTACTGGCTGCTGTTAAATTTATAGCACATCTTGTCAACCAACAAGTAGCTCATGAGATTATTGCATTGGAGCTGCTTACCGTGCTGTTGGAGAATCCTACTGATGACAGTGTTGAGGTAGCTGTTGGCTTTGTCAAAGAGTGTGGTTCACTACTGCAAGACCTTTCGCCACAAGGCCTTCATGGTGAGTATGATGTTGGTTTTACCCAAAAAGCAGTCTGCTATGATATTTTTCTTCCTGGAATTATCTACCTTGTTTGACATTTAAGCATTATGCTTTTGTCTGTTTAATTTTTTACTTATTTTCTGGATCTAAATTTACCATGGCTCAAATGCTTTATCTCCCAGTAAAAGCTGGATGAATAAATAGAGGGAAAACATAGATTGGAATCAGTAAATTAAGAGGCAAAGGCCTTTGGATGTATGAACCAAACAATTCATGGAGTTACTAAAAAGCGATTAAAAAGTGACACCTCAAGAAAAAAAAGGGAAAAAAGTGAAAACAAGCTTAAAAAAAAGCATAACTAGCCTATTTATCTCCTGTCCCTCTTTCCTGAGTCGCAGAAGGTAGTCTCTATATTGAAAAAGCTGCAATGCGTCTTCCTTTGAATGGTTGGAAAGAAGAAAATAAATTCCACTTAGTGGACTAGTCCAAAATCTGCTCTCCAAAAGCTAATGGTGGCTTAGGATTGTGCAGGATCAAGGACATGGATGTAGCCCTTCTAAGTAAGTGGTTCTGGATTCAGCCTTGAAAGAGATAACTGGTGGCTCAACATTATTGCAGAAAAGCACAGCCATAGTAAGACTCATCAAAAAGAAAAAGCACAGCTATATTAATTGGGACTGGGACTTTGGTCTCACAACCTCTCCATATGGTTCTGTGTAGAAGAGTATCCAAAAAGTCTATCCCAAATTTCTAGAAGGCGTCTATTATAATATAAGCTTGGAAATGGATAGAGAATCAAATTTTGGACTGGTTGCTGGTGTGCAAACGAACCCTTGCTGCCTCCTTCCCAAATCTGTTCTCCATTGCTGAGAACAAAGATGTAACTATAGCCAGATGTTCTCTATCAAAGCTGATGAGGTGGTTTGGTCTCCCAAATTCAAAAGGAACTTGCAGGGTTGTGTGATAGAACACATGGGGTTATTACATTCTCTCTAGAACCTAATGCTCGACTTGGATTCTTTGGACAGCAGGAAGTGGAATTGGGATAAAGTAGGCAACTTTTCTGTCAAATTCAACCACTTGGATAGTTCCCACTCTTCACACTTTCCTCACAGGATTATTTGGTCCCATCATTTCCCCTCAAAAGTGGCTTTCCTAACTTGGGCAGCTGCCCTAGGTAAATGGCTAACCAGGGATTTCCAACAGGGGCATGACACTCTTCTACAAGTTGTGTCTTTTGCAGCTATGACTCTGAAACAGCTGATCGCCTCTTTGTGAATTGCCTCAAGAGTCACATGGTTTGTACCAGCATTCTGAGTGCTCTCAACATCAGCTGGACTTTCCCCCAAACAATTTTGGAGGCAGTCTCAAGCTGGCACATAGGCAGGTTAAACCAGGTTAAATTGTAAAGGCAAAATGATCAGGCAGATATTCATGGTACTATATTTTGGACATTGTGGATGGAGAAAATATTGCACCACATGTTAGCCTACTTTTGTTTTTCTAAATATTCCTATTAAGGTAGTGCCATAGTGGATCCTAGAGGTAGTCTCCATTTTTTTTTTTTTAATTTCTTTTGAAGGGCTACACAATGGGGGGTAGCCCATCCCCCAACCCAGGTACAGGCGGGATCTATCCCAAGTCTCCACTACAGCCAGCAGGAGACCTTACCAACCAGCTGGTTGGCATAGTTCATGTATCACTTGGGGTAGCAACAATAAGCATGCACTCATTGGCTAATTTTGTCTTACATTTGATTGATGGAATGCTTATGTTTTATTGAGGTTTGCAAAAAAAGTGTTGTAACCATGTGGACTAATCGAAACCAAATCACCTAGGCATGCACTCACAAGGTGATTTGGTTTTAAAATTTAAAATTTGATTATTAGCATGTTTATGACTTACTGGACGGTCACAAGAAAGTGTTATGATCACGTGAACTCATCAAAATCAAATCACACAGGCATACACTCACTAGGTAATTTGTTTTTTCTTTTGATTGATAGCATGTTAGTGTTTTATTGGAAGGCCACAAGAAAGTATTGTAACCATGTGAACACATTGTTACAAGGCCTTGTACATCCCTCCCTTGTTTAACGAAACCAGTTATCTTTTCTCAAAAAAAAAAAAAGAAAAAGAAAGTATTGTAAGTTTGTAACTATGTGAACACATCACAACACATGTTAGGTTATCTAGGGATTTCTTCATTTTTATGGTAAGGTAGTAGAGCTTAGAGGTAATCTTTATTTTTTTATATGTTGGTTATTTTTTTTCTCATTTGGGGTAGGAAAAAGACATTTACTCATTTCATTGGGTAATTTGATTTTTCATTGATTGTTAGCATGTCTATGTTTTATTGTAGGGTTGCATGAAAATATTGTGACTTGTGACCATGTGAACTCATTGAAACCAAATGACCTGGGCATGCATTCATTCAGTGATTTGGTTTTTTTTATTCAATTGACAGCATGCCTGTGTTTAATTAGAGGGTCACAAGTAAGTTTTGTGATCATGTGAACTCATCGAAACCAAACCACCTAGGCAAGCACTCACTGAGTGATTTGGTTGATAGCATGTTTGGCTTTATTGGAGGGTCAAAGAATGTTTGTGACCATGTGGACTACTTGCTGGTGGATCCCTCTGGCAGACTTAGGTAGTCTCTGTAGTTCATTGTTCTTCTCTCTCCATTAAGAAGGAGAAAGATAGTATGGAAATTTACTATAACTGCTGTTTTGTGGCGAACTTGGGAGGAGAGGAATGCTAGATTTTTCAAAGAATTCCGAAAAAATAAAGAAGCTATTATTGGTATTGCAGTTTGGGTGGCACATTCCTGTTCAATTATTATTCTACTGATGACATCTTAAGAAATTGGCAATAAGTACCCAACTCTTCTTTTGTTAGATTTCCTCTCATGACTGTGTGGTCTCCTCCAGCTGTTAACTCCATCAATCTCAACTTTGATGCATGTAGTTTTGGAAGTCTAGGGCCATTAGGCATCGGCAAAGCATTCTGAGATGGGAATGGTTAGATAATGAATGGCCTTGTCCTCAGGAACCATTTGAGTAGGGAACTCCATCAGGGATGAACTTCTTGCAATGCTGCAAGGTTTGAGAATGGTGAAAACTCAAAAATATAGGGACCTACTTGTAGAGATTCTAAAACAGTGGGGGGTTGCTTTAACAAAATGATGAAGACCCATGAATGTCTAGAAACATTTAGAGGGAGACATCTATTGTGGAGCTAAATGTAAACTTTAGTTGGGTTTCAAGGCTTGCAAACTATCCAGCAGATGGGCTAGCTAAAGGAGTTAGTAGGGCTTGATTGTACTGGGGTTTAATCACTGTAAATACAAAGAAAAAATGGAAAGCCTTCTCCACAATTGACCTGGCGAAGCTGTTGGCTGGGCTTGCAAACTATCCAGCAGATGGGCTAGCTAAAGGAGTTAGTAGGGCTTGATTGTACTGGGGTTTAATCACTGTAAATACAAAGAAAAAATGGAAAGCCTTCTCCACAATTGACCTGGCGAAGCTGTTGGCTGCTGAATTATATTCTTGGCATCCATCTTATATCTGAACTTAGAGAAGACGGTATCTCTATAGTTTCATTGAGGTAGTGCTCCAATCTTGATGATTGGCCGAGTCAAATAGCCACTTACATGATGTGACATAGAATCCTGGGACCAAATAGAGGGTTAGTGCCTCTGGTTTGGTGAAGTTAGTATGTCCAATGTGTGTGTCTGTTTGTCAGGCACCGAAAACATGCCACCATTTGCTTTTGGGAGACTTCTTCAATCCCAGCCTGTTCAGACTTTCCAAGAGAGCTCTCGTCCATTTGTAACTTGATTTTCCTGGTGTAGAAAGCCCACCAGAGATTGATTTTAGGATCTTTGGTATGTACCTTGTACGATTCCTGTATTAGATGTGTTTTAAGTTAAAGCATATCTAATATGTGTGCCAGTAGACCAGTAGAAAGGTTCCTGCCCTGCATTCCATGAATAAAGGGCATAAAATCAATTTTGTGCTTTCTAAATTGTGTAAGAAAGAAACTAGGAAATAATGTCTTTGTGTTGTTATCGTTGTTGTTGACTTGTAGTTTTTTTTTTTTTTTTGGATAAGTAACTTAATATTTTATTACTTGAACAATAATATGTACATCAAATGCAAGGTGTGAGTTGCAACTTCTCACAACAATTTAATATCACATTACAACTGAGCCCAATACAATTGTTCATATTAACCCCTTGCTGGTCTAAGATATTAGCCATTCTATTTGCCAACCTTCGCACCCATTGTATTTCTAAGGCCATGTTGCTACTTTCTAGTTAGCCATTTGAACTTTTTAACAATGTCATCCCTGTAAACCATACGACAATCTCTGGATCATTTAGCCATCCAACCAACACCTTGAAATCCCCTTCAATAATCAGTTTATTCATATTCATGTCTCTTGCCATGTGCACTCCTTGAATTACATCAAACAATTCAGTTCTTATGGAGTCCCCAACACTCACTTGTCCCAAGAACAAAGGAATCATGTGCCATCTTTATCTCTAAAAACTCTCTCTACTCTAGAGGGACCCGGATTGCCCTGGCTGTTTCCATCAAAGTCTTTGTGTTGTTCATAAACCTTGTATTTTTGATAAGCATTCAAGCGTTCATAAACCTTGTTTTGACACCAATCTATTCCACTTCTGTTGATTTTCCTTGAACCTAGTAGCTTTTTATTTGCTGAGGGCTACTAAGTCTGACAGGTTTTTCATTGAATGACTTGCAATGACATTATGTCTGGTCAAGGATGCCTTTGGTATTTCCTTCTACATGTTACCCATATAATGGATAGAGAGTAGTTCTGTTATTCCATCAGGAAACCAAGCCAAGCAAGACCTCTCTCCACAAGTTCTCTCTCCCCAATCACTCTTGCCTTGGTGTGGCAGTGCTTGCCCAAACCTGCCTGGCTCATAACTTGAGATTTTACTGGAGAACTGCACCTTCCTCAATCCCTTTTTGTATATTTTCATGGAAGTACTCAACCCAATTAATGAGCAGGTTAAGTTCGTGCTAATCATTTTCTGCAGGCAAGAAAAAAACATTTCCTGCTTGAAATGAAGGTTTATGGGTTTGATCACCTTGTATCTTTCTCCTCATTGTGGATCACTGTGATTTACCACCTAACCACCAAATCAGTTTTTTTTTTTCATCAGTTACCACCAAATCAATTTCCATGATACGCTCCCTCAAGTTCAGGAATTGATAGAATACGATTGTTTCCTTTAAATGCTCCTTCATTTGGAAAAAAAGGAAAAAAAGAAAAATACTAGGAACTGGTTAATGATGGTAAATGAACACTAGAAATATTCTTCCCGGGGTCAATTATCCTGAGTTTCGGCATTTATGTTTTCTTATATATTTGAGATACCTTGTTTCCTGATATTTCTTAAGGCTCTATCTTAGAGGCTACATGAATCAGCAAATCTTTATTTTATGTTATATTGGGAAAATAGTGGGATACTTTGAACCATTTCTGGAGACCCCAAAACATGGCTGGAAATATTGTCGAGTGTAATAGGAGATGCATTTAATGCATAGTTGTAAGTCATTAATGCCATTTAAAGAACAAGCCGGAGTGATATTTTCTGTGCATGGAGAAGAAATTTTCTTCCAACATTCTTTTTCTTTTCTTTTTTTCCATTTATTCTTGTGCTGCAAAATGGGTCCTTTGTAATATTGGCAACCTTTACTTTCTTCACACTGGTGATTTATAATCATTTTCGTTTTTCTTATCATGGGATAAGCCTAAATCTTCTATTTCCATTTTGGTATTCGGTAACCATGTATTTTGCTTGGTCACGTTATTTTCTTATCTTAATTTCTGATTTTATAACTTTCGAGGCATGTTTGGATATAAAAGGAATGAAAGATGCAGCCATCAATCAAACATATCCTTGTTTCTTTGTAATATGGTTGTGGTTGTTAATTCATATAGGTATCTTTGAGCGCTTTCGTGGAATACTTCATGAAGGAGAAATAGACAAGAGAGTCCAGTTCTTGATTGAAGGTCTCTTTGCAATAAGAAAAGCCAAATTTCAGGTATAATCCTACTTGTCTCTTGGAGTTTCATATGTAATATTTTTGTTCTTTGCATATCTGGCATCCAAGCATGGAACTGAATGCTAGATGTCAATGTCTAATTATGCAGGGGTACCCCGCTGTTCGCCCAGAACTGGACCTTGTGGAGCAAGAAGATCAATTAACCCATGAATTATCTCTTGAAGATGAGATAGATCCAGAGATTGCTTTAGGTATCATTTGGAATATAATCATTTACTTTTCTTCATTGCAATTTGTTTTATTTACTAAATTTATTATAAAAATTCAGGAATTTTCCTGAGTAATTAATTGATAAGTTTGCTCTTGTTACTGATAAAAAATTTACGAATTCAGATATATTTAAACCGGATCCACAATTTTTGGAGAATGAAAAGCGATATGAAGAGTTAAAGAGAAGTATGCTTGGTGATGAGTCCTCTGAGGATGATGGAGGCACTGATGCAGCATCAGATGATGATGATGATGATGATGATGACGAGGAGGAGGAATCTGATGAAGAGGAAGCACAACAGATGAAGATAAAGGATGAAACAGAGACAAATCTTGTCAATTTGCGGAGGACGATTTATTTGACGATCATGTCAAGTGTTGATTTTGAGGAAGCTGGCCATAAGCTACTGAAAATCAAACTAGAACCAGGTCAAGAGGTAAGAATGAAAAATCCTCATAGTAGATGAAGCATCATATACTGAAAGTGCAAACTAGTTAAGAAATGTTGTATATTAGTGCATTGCTGCACTTTATGAAGTATTAGTAACCGTATGATATTGATAAAAAAATAGTAACCATATGATACCTAGAGATCTTCACTTTATCATGTGGATTGTAATTGTAATTGTTGGAGCAGGACTTGCAAAATGTACATTGATGGGCAACTCCTTTTGGCTCTGTTTCCTTTCTCACCATGTATTGACTAATTTGTTAATTTAAGCAGCCTGTTACTGTTGAAGAAATCATGGTAATAATTTGCCAATAATTTATTTTTTAGTTAATCTAGTGAGCTCTTATGTCCAATTCCTTCACAATTTTTGTCCAATAGTACAAATATGTTGTCCATGATTAGTTGTCAAGAAATGCAGTCCTTTCCCGGGGACCTGCATTTTTTGTATAAACACTCTTCTTATTATCATGGACTTGGGCATGCGTGGTGCAGATGGTGTTATAGAGCTCCTAGGAAACAGGAGAACAACAGAGCGGAAATGACCTCTAGTGACTCTCTCTTATGGTGGTGTGCATATGCACGAGTGTATATACTTCTTTTCTCATTAGGGGCTGAGCAACATGCACTAGGTATCTGATCCAAGTAGGGTCTTTTCAATAAGATAACCCTACTGGAATATGATAACCATTTGCTGTATTGATATGGATTTTTTTTTAATGAATGATTAGGCAATTTTATTAAAGAGATAAAAAAGGGAAGTACAAGCAGCCTTTGAGGAAGCACGAGATGCTACCTCCCCAAAGGAGTGAGTACAGACCCAAGCACTATTTTAAACCATATTTTTATAGTGCTAGTAGGGTGACACGGTGTGTGTATAGTCATTGGATCATGTAGGTTTGGAACTTTTAAGATTCTACCCCAGCTGGACTACATGTGTAGGCACAACAGCAGTAGCAACCCAATATGATGCTTTTTTCCTCTTGGGATTTCTCTTTCATGAATCTAAGTTTGACAGAAATTTAGCACTAAAATTGAAATAGTTATGTTCTATATACTTGTGTTTTTTCGAAATCTGCAGTGCTTTTTTTATTTAACTCTCAATACACATCTTTCTGGGTTGTTTTGCAGTCCTATGTATTTCTGACTGGCCAAATTTGTATCTTTATACATGATTAAGTGCATTATTGGAGGCAGTTATATGTTATAAGTTGAATGCTCATCGTTGTTTTGATTTGCATTTTGCAGATGGAATTGTGTATTATGTTGTTGGAATGCTGCAGCCAAGAAAGAACATATCTTCGGTATTATGGTCTCCTGGGTCAGCGGTTTTGCATGATCAACAAAATCTACCAGGAAAATTTTGAGAAATGCTTTGTCCATCAATACTCAATGATTCATCGGCTTGAGACAAATAAATTGCGTAATGTAGCCAAATTCTTTGCCCATTTACTTGGAACATATGCATTACCTTGGCACGTTTTGGCCTATATACGCTTAACAGAAGAGGACACAACATCATCTTCTCGTATCTTCATTAAAATCCTTTTTCAGGTAACTATTTTGTTACTATATACAATATTTACTATTTTCCTTAGATGCTGTAAATCTTACTATAATAGGTTTTGTAATTGCAGGAGCTGTCGGAGCATCTAGGCATCCGCTTACTTAATGAGAGGCTTAATGATCCTGCGATGCAAGAATCTTTTGAATCTATTTTCCCAAAGGATAATCCAAAGAATACAAGGTTTTCTATAAACTTCTTTACCTCCATTGGTCTTGGTGGCCTGACAGAGAACTTGCGCGAGTACTTGAAAAATATGCCAAGGCTTATTATGCAACAACAGAAACCAGTGTCTGAATCAGAGGATGAATCGGGCAGTTCAAGTTCAGCTGGTTCTGAATCGAAGTCTGATTCATCCAGTTCAGATGAAAGTGAAAGTGAAAGCGAGGGTGAGAGTGAAGACGAAAGGGACAGGAGACACCGAAAAAAGAGGAGGAAAGATTGATGTTATTGCCTGCAGCTCCTGGAAATCAAATTCTATGTTCCTGTACTGTACACATTTTGGCATTCTCACAGTTATTCAGTATCTAATAATGCAGTTAGTTGTAACATATTGCGGAGTTGAGTTAGCTTTTATAAATCAAGAGGCTTGTTTTCTTTACATGCTCTTCGTAGAATGTACTTTATTATGCTCTCTAGTCTCTAGCTTTTACTTCACCATTGCTTTCTAGGTTTTACAGGTACTTGAAAATACCTATTGTTGCTGTATTGTTCTTATCTTATTTATTAAAAAGAAAAAAATTATGCAATTCTTGAGCAATGCGCTAAAGTATCTTCCAAGTTTACTTTAAAATATGCATAAATTACATGAACCCCAATCCTTTTACAAGCAAAAACTGAGCACACGACATTCATTAGGAATATCTCCCACATATGTGTAGGAGATAATGGCACTAGAACCACACTTTCTCATTTATGGGAATCCAAGCACTACAACATCTATGACCTAACAACCAGGCTATCATACTCCGGTGGATCCCTCCACCCTCCCATATGTTCAAACTGAACATTGATGGGGTCATGGGGCCGTAGTGGCTGCCGGTGATGGGATAATTATTATTATTTTTTTTATCAATAACACTTTCATTAATTCATCAGTAGAAAATTTACAAGTGGAAGACAAATACACTTATCTTCCAAAAGCCACAAAGATACAAAGACATTAACGTTACAGCTTAGCCCAAAACAAAGAATCCCTTTTTGCCCCTTGTTTTGCTAAAYCGTCARYTAGGGAATTAGCTGATCTTTTAATCCAACATGTCTTAACTTCCATCTCCTGCACCAACCATTTGAATTTCCTCTTCTCATTATTATACTTCCATAAATCATTTTGATCTTTAGTCAGCCACCCTATCACTACCTCTGAATCCCCTTCAATTATAAGTTTTCTGATGTTTAATTCCTTAGCTTTTCGGGCTCCTTCCAGAACTGCACATATCTCAGCTCTAAGGGAGTCACCCACTCCAATTGGGTCTAAGAACATAACAGAGATGACCCCATTATCATCTCTAAAAACACCCT